AAACTGAACTCCTGTAGCACGAGAGATGCTTTCCCTCTCCCCAGAATAGAAGAAGCCCTGGAGGCTCTAGGGCAGGCAAGATACTTCTCCACCCTTGACCTCACCTCTGGTTATTGGCAGGTGGAGGTGGCGGAGCATGACAAACACAAGACGGCATTCAGCACCCCTATGGGGCTGTTTGAAGCAAATCGTATGCCCTTTGGACTGCAGAATGCTCCCTCCACCTTTCAGAGACTCATGACCTGCTGCTTTGGCGACTTGAACTTCACCCACCTCCTAATCTATCTTGATGATCTCATCATATTCTCCAAAACCTTTGATGAGCATCTGGAAAGACTGCAGCTGGTGTTCGATCGGCTTCGGGAGCATGGCTTGAAGTTAAAGCCTTCTAAATGCCACCTAGTGAGAAAGGAGGTTCAGTATTTGGGTCACTTAGTGTCTGCTGAGGGATCCGGACAGACCCAGAGAAGATCAGCAAGGTGAAAAACTGGGTGAGGCCCACAAATCGCAAAGAAGTGTTGCAATTCCTGGGATTCGCTGGATACTATAGGCGGTATGTAAGTGGGTACTCTACCCTAGCTGTCCCTGCACCGCCTAACTGCTGGTGACCCCAGAAAGAAAAGGAGAGGGGGAAAGAAAGTCTGGCTACCGACCCACCCTTTTGTGGACAGATGAATGCGAGAAGGCATTTAAGACCCTAAAAGAAAGGCTGACAAGCGCTCCAGTGCTGGGATATCCTGACTATAGCTTGCCCTTCGTTCTGCAGACGGACGCCTCAGGGGAGGGTCTGGGCGCCGTCTAGCTCAGATCCAAGGTGGAGCTGAGAGGGTCATAGCCTTCGCCAGTAGAGGTTGAGCCCAGCAGAGACAAGGTATCCTGCACACAAACTCGAGTTCCTTGCTCTTAAATGGGCGGTCACCGACAAATTCTACGACCACCTCTATGGGCGTAGATTCTCTGTCCAGACAGACAACAACCCTCTCAAGTATGTTATGTCATCAGCGAAGCTGGATGCCACAGGCCAGCGGTGGGTGTCTAGGCTGGCTGCTTTCGATTTCGATGTCCAGTATCGGAGGGGACAGAGCAACACAAACGCTGACGCCCTCTCTCGCATGTCTAACCAGGAGGTCATGCACATCCTACAGACATGCCCTCAGTGGGTGGGTGTCGACGAACAGGGGCATGGTGCGACACAGGCTACCCAGGATACTCAAAGCCTCACTGGCCATGGCACGCCTACAGGGGAGGAACTGGAACTCGGGCCACCTACATCCACTGAGCCTTACAGGGATGTGGGATGGAATCCCTGCCCACCATGACCAAACAGGAGATCCGTGCAGGGCAGAAAAAAGACCTCGTTATTGGCCCTGTCTTGCACATAAGAGTATGAACCAGAAGCTGAGCCGCAGTGAGCGAATGAGTGCCGAAGGACACGTGCGCCTTCTCTTAAAGGAGTGGAGAAGGTTAGCGGTAAGGGATGGCATCCTGTACCGCTGCGTCCAAGACAGCCAAAGGGGAGTAGTTGAGCAATTGGTGCTACCAGAGGATTTGCGTATATCAGTGAAGACTGCTCTCCACGATGACTCAGGCCACCTTGGTTTTGAAGAGGACATTGCACATGATAAGGGAGAGGTTTTATTGGCCACGGATGTTCAGGAAATCAAGGCTTGGTGCGAACAATGTGAGAGGTGCTGCCTTAGGAAAACTCCAACCGCAGGGGTCAGGGCCCCCCTGGTCAGTATCCACAGCAGTGCCCCCTTGGAGCTAGTTTGTGTGGATTTTTGACTCTTGAGAAATCAAAAGGTGGTATCGAAAATGTCCTCGTGGTCACTGACCATTTCTCACGCTATGCGCAAGCATACCCCACTAAAGACCAAAAAGCCAGCACAGTGGCTAGGGTGCTGTATAGAAACTTTTCTGTCGGTTTGGCTTCCCAGCAAAACTGCATGCAGACCAAGGGCGCAATTTTGAAAGTGCTGTGGTGAAGGAGCTGTGTAAATGCACCGGCATCACTAAGACCCACACCACGCCTATCACCCACAGGGCAAACGGGACAACTGAACGGTTTAACCGCACCCTCATGAACATGCTGGGGACGCTAGAACCTCACCTGAAACCCCGGTGGCACGAATATGTGGATGCAATGACACACGCCTACAACTGCACCCGCATGATCGACAGGGTACACACCATACTACCTGATGTTTGGCAGGCATCCACGGCTCCCTGTCGACTTGGTCTTTGGGCTGTCAACCACTAATGGGTCGGGGGATATAGCGATTATGTCCAGACCCTGCATGACTGCTTGTCACAGGCTTACGCACAGGCTAATCAGGCCTCTCGCCAGGCTAAGGGTCACCAGAAAAGATACTATGACCGACAAGCAAAGAGTCAAAGCTTCAGCCCGGGTGACAGAGTCCTGGTTAAAGTGTGTCATGTGGAGGGGCGAAGCAAACTAGGAGACAAGTGGGAGTCACGTCCATACATTGTGGTGAAGAAACAGCCAGACATGCCGGTGTATGTGGTGCGATCGAAAAATGGTGATACAGAGAGAGTGGTCCACCGCAACCTACTCACGCAGTGTATGTTTCTTCCGTGGAGCAGGTGGGAGAGGAGGCAAGAGAGGAATGGAGCTTGACGTGGAGGAGGTTCATGGAGGAGGGATTGAGGACAGTGGAGAGCAGGCTGGTGAAGTAATCAGACAGGATGAAGAGTCGGACATGATCGAGGACGGGGAGACTGATAGCCTGGAAGGAGGTGTGGAGGGAATTTCACCTGAAGCAGCAAATGGATCACTTGCCCCCACAGGACCGGAGGAAAGGGACCCAGGGGCAGCACAAGAGAGTGAAGATTGGAGGGGGAATGAGACTGCCAGGGTCACCCACTCACCTCCCAGACCAAGAGAACCAAGGAGGAACTTGCCGAGGAGTCGGCATCCCCCCAAAGAGACTGACTTATGGGTTGAGAGTTAACGAACCAGGGGAGGATCAGGAGAAGATAGAAAGGGGATGGAAGCTGTGGCAGAGGGCCAAAGCAAGAAGGGCTGAAGGAAACACATAGGATACACACATAGACATTTTCACATTACACTGCACATCTTCCACCACCATTATTCTTGTGTACATAGTGAGACTGTTCTGTTTTATTTTGTTTGTTTGATGACTGGGACGCCATCACTTAAAGGAGAGGCGGATGTAAGGTAGTGACTGGAATAAGTCACAAGGTGTCGCTGTTGAGCTGCATATATGGTGTAAATGTTAGCAATTTGGCCATTCGTCTCTGCAGGACACCGTACTTTAGATTCTTGTTCCGCGCGGCGCCATCTTGGGTCAGTGTTTGCTGTGATTGCGAAGGTAGCACTGCCAGTGGCGAACTGCATCATTTTGTGTTGTATTCATCGCGGAGACCGTGGAATGTTGTAGAAGGCACGGTTATTGTTACTTAATGTGTATTCTGTGTATATGTGTTGTTGTATTTTGCAATGTTGATAGTCACGGAGTGTTTGCTGTGATTTGCGAAGGGCCAGCAGCAGAGTTGGAGTGGTGTTTGCCCCTGCTTCCGAATAAACGGCGCGGTCCGAGCCACAAATTGAACACCTGTGTCCGACTGGTCTCTCTGCGGTGCACCCCAATCCAACACAATTTAACACAACGCAGAGTCCGGGGTGTAGGGAGGCCCCTGCACTGGTTGGGTTACATATACATACGAAACAGATTTTTACCTGGCAGGAGAACGAACAATAGTCTTTTTTAAGGCTACTGCAGAAGGAGATATTCCCCGCTAGCTCACCCAAGCTTGCTCTCTGGCACAGCTACAAGCCATGTGAGCTCATAGCCCACATGTACTACCACAGTCGACTGTCGTAAAGCAGCCGCAAACCAATAGCAAGTAAAAAAACAACTCAAAATCATTGAAGAACATTTTATAACACCCAATATAGATATATACATATATACTGAATATCACACAATATCAGATAACCAAATTAACACTGGGTTACAAATTCATGGATTTTTTTTTCACATTCTGTCTCTCACAGTTGAAGTGTACCTCTGGTGCAAATTACTGACCTCTGTCATCATTTTAAGTGGGGGAACTTGCACAATCGGTGGCTGACTAAATACTTTTTTGCCCCACTGTAAATACAGGCCATTTTACCATCGTCATCAGTGTTTTCCATGAAAGAATTTAAAATTTCAGTTTGATTGATTACGTCACTTCATTTTAAATGAGCTTTGGCACAGAAGAGATGGTGGTGTTTCTGGATCATGTTCACGTATGGTCTCTGCACGGTAGAGCTTCAGCCTGTAATTGTGGGTGGTACAGTGAAATGTGTTCACAGCCGGTGATTTTCATGTGACAGTGAATTTCATGACAGAATCACATCTGTTTTCACTTCAGTTCACAGACATCCAATACTGATTGTCAGACTTGTCCCCTGCACACACAGATTTCTCCACATTCAATTTTATGTTGAGGAATATTATTCTGAATTGTTCCATAATTTGTACAGGCAGGTTTTTGCAGATTGGTAAACCTCCATCCACCTTTGCTTCTGAGAAGCTCTGCTCCTCTGAAACGCTCGTTTTACACTCCAGTCATGTTACTGATCTGATGCTGTTTAACCTAACCTTCTTTTTAGCACTACCTACTTTTCCTGGCTTTTGTTGCCCCGTCTCAACTATTTTTAAACCAGGTGCTGCCATCAAAGTCAAAATGAGCTTTTATTTTTCTTAAAATGGCACACTGACTCAGCTTAAACATTTGATATGTCATATATGTTCTCTTGTTTGCAAATCATTGGATTCTGGTTTTATTTACAAATGACACAGTGTCCTTTTTGGAACTGCAGTTTTATTCTTCCTGGGCACATTGGGCATTGGACTAGCTTTTAATGATTTTTTCCCCACATTTTTCTTAACTATTACACCGCTGTTTTCACTCCGTTGGGCTGTAGCTCTGCTCTGAGTCGACATAATGACACACGACACCAGAATAAATCAGGTTAAGGCGAGTAAAAGATTTATTTCACATTTTGTTAAATATCACCAGCTTTGTATGAGGAATCAAAGACATCAAAGAGCAGGTCACAGGAATAGTTAAGAAGGCTCATATGCACAGAGGGACAAAGGAAGGGGGGTATCTCCAGAAAAACCCCATAATGAATAACGCTGCATCACGTCTGCTGATGGTTTGTTGTGAGTGCTGTAGTTTGTTGTTGTTGTTTTTCTACAGGGTGGATGGAATTTGCTGGCTTTGTTTGTTCAGCCAACCATAAACTCAAACACTTTTAGTGATGGTTCAAAAAGTGACATTATTATTCAATCATTACTTCTAGAACTGCACATAAAACCTGCACTGGGACTGAGGGTCAGACGGGAGAGGGACACCACAACGAGGGAAGAAGCGCTGCAGGGACAACACGAAGCACACACGGACACAGAGATAAGCAGAGGGATCACCTCAACAGTCTGAGCTCTGATGCTGTGTTTTTACACCCGGCTTTACCTGAGTCAAGTTTGCAGTGAGGACATAACTCAGGTAAGGGGAACTTTTAAAATGAAAGGTTTTCGGATACACTTGAACACAATGCTGACCCCTGTTAATGAGCGCAGATGATGCCTTGAACCGATGACCTGGTCCATCTGACCTCTCACCTCCGGAGCAGGCGGGGGAGGAAAGAGGGATGAGGGCTGAGAGTGTCAGAGTCACAGGCACTTGCGATAAAATGACAAAAACGTTACAATTTCCATTAAGGCACAACAGATAAACTACACTCACAAACATCTTTGGGACAAGAACAGCATGATTCTTGTAGTGGGCATAAAGAGCTGCACACAGAGGACTGTGCAGCAGGTTGGCTTTCACATCTACACCCCCGACAAATGATTTTACCCGGACAAATGATTGCTGATGACACTGCTTGCTGAGCAGCCAGTACTTAAACCTTTGTTGCAGCGAGTCAGTTTTTCAGCAAGAATGTCATTTCTTTAAAGTTTCTCTAAAAGACAGTTTCCTTTTTCCTAAACAAATCAAAACAGTTGTTACAAGGACGCCTTAGAGCCGGTGGGATCGTGTTTATCTGAAGTGAGAATGTGAAAAGGTAAAAATACACAAGTGAAAAATGTGATTACCTTAGCAAAACCACCATGCATGTGTTATCTAGTGTGAGGAAAATACATTCAAATGCTTCCGTCATACTGACCGATAGATTACCACACTAGCAGCTGGACACCACTACATTTCCATTAAAAGAATAAGGCTGACTCTTCTCATTCTTAGGATGAGTTTTTCTTTTTGTCTGTCAACAAATCCCACAAATTCTAACAGTGAACTGGTCTGTCTTACCACTTCCTGGCTTATGTACGTGAGCCTAGAGTTCCTGTTGAAGAGAAACTACAGGAAAAAACTAGATTGTTTGAGAAGTCACAAAAAGCTAAGCTGCATTCACCTTCTAGCCCCACTTCTGAGCTCTTATTAATAAAACGTGCACACTTTTATCTATGGATATGAAAAATTTGGTATACTTGAAGATTAAAAATATAGAAAACATAACTATTTGTTGAACATCTGTACCTGCTCTGTGTTCAGTCTGGATAAACTTTAACTCTTTACTCCATAAAGAGACACTGACGACATCCCCTTTGTAGCCTTGATGATGAGTTTTGACACCTCAGCATATATCAATAAAGTTGTGGTTTGAAGACAATCAGAACAGTTTCTGGGTTTTTCTAAGTCTAGTTGCACAGGGAGAGACCACCCGCACTAACTTATGATGCACACCAGTCGTTTTGTTCTATAAGCCTGAAGCATTCAAGGTCACTCCTGGTCGATTTATACAAGCGGGTAAAGAGTTAAAACAACAAGTAACTATAACTGAGAAGTGTTTAATTATTCTTTATAATACGGTAATCATTATTGTCACCATTAGTTTAAGGATTTCTTATTAAATTTATGGGTTCAGCATTTAGACTGGCACCGTCTTAATTTTTGGTGGCCATATTTGGTAGCCCGTGTTTGCTGATACCTAAGACTTACTATAGTTTAAACAGAGGATTTATATTAAAGGAGTCACCATGAAGGAGACAATTAGCTATACGAATTCAGTAATTTCATATTAGGGCACATAATTTGCACTTTGGGATTTAAATAAAATTAAAATTTAAGAGAAACAACATTGCCCATTTCACGCAGTACCAACTCACTTTAGGTGCTCTTTTCTCTTCTGAAGTCACTGGATTTCGTCAAACAGCTACGGCTGCTTGGCCAGAATAAATTGGCACCTAAAATAGGCAGCGGTAATTAGACACACAGTGGAAACTCATGCACACGCGCTCGCAACTTTGTACAGAAACTTTGATGACCACACGCTCACGAACGCATGCTCACCGAAGCATGCGACACAGACGAGGCTCATACACACAGTAAGCATGGCGACTTTTATAAACTCACATATAATCGACACAGTGGATTTCATTGGCATTGTATGGGATAGTAATAGTGACAGAGAAGGTTTCCCCTTACGAACTGATTCTGATCTTTTTTCCTTCATTGGTTTCACAATCTGAGTCTGCATGTTTTAAACTGAAGTTAGGCTTTCGTCCCTCCTCTCAAACACCTTTCAGTCAGCCCTTCTCACCTGCTTCATTCTCTCTTTCGTTTGTGGACAGAGTAACAGTGTGTTAGTGTTTTTGCATGAGCTGAGCAGTCCTTCTCACATCACGGTGTTTCTCAAAAAACAATGTATACCCTATGTAGGTCACTACTCTGTAGTTTGGGCCCATAAAGCACTAGAAGTACACAAGTGTCTATTGAGACGTGTTCCCTTGAGATGTGGAGGAGTGAGACGACAGGGTGGTTTAACTCCGGGGGATGATGCCCTTCTTGTAGGCCACCAA